AGCTGCCCGCTAAAGGGCTAACAACATATAACGCTAATTTGATGAAAAATGACGACCGAGCATTACAAGTATGTTGATAACACAATCTTCACACACCCAAAATTGAGCTAAAACACAAATGAGAGAAAACTCACGCTGGGGCTTTTGATGAATAGAATTCCTATTTGGTTGGCAGGTAAGAAATCCTTTGAGTTGAGATCCTTGAGTTTGAGCTCAACGTTGGGGAAGACGCTGCCTGTGAACCCTGGCTTGCCGCCGCCCAAAGGGTCTTGTGCTATCACGAACATCTCCGACGCGCCGTAACCTGGCCGTGAATAATCATATTTAACTACTTTACGTTTAAAATTATATGAATACTTGGTCAGAATGAATTAGTTGCTGAGACTGGTATCGTAATGTTTGGTCTTAATGTATCGCCGGTCATCCGGGAATAGGAAGAGAGGAGCTGAACGTGGCATACGGCTCCGGCGTGAGTTTAAGGTCTCGGAGTAATGTTGAGTTTCAATTATAATTCATTTACTACGTGAATCTACCTCATACAGCGAACATATCATTGAAGAATGAAACAAAATTGTCAAGAATTTGAAAAATGTGCGCGTTCAATGTTCACAGCATAAAATTTTACTGGCCATTTTGAAAATTTTTTTCATTTACTATTCAAATTAGTTGAAGAGATGGAAAAATAATGAACACATATAAACAGAAAGAGAACGAACATGAACTAACTAAAATTTCGACTGCATTACGCAAGACAAATATTTTTTTGAGCCCCAAAACAATTACTAAACTAAACTACCGTAATTTAAACCCCTGGAAATTTTTTACATAAATTTCCAGTTCCAACGAACATTTCTGGATGAAGACCCCAGGCATGGTGCTGGCCGCAGCGGTGACGTGGGCCTGCGGGATAGCGCCGCCACCCACAAGCACGTGCCGGAAATGCTGGAGCAAATCCTGACGCTCTCTGCCCAGACGCAGCACCGTCGGGAAATTCAGGACCACGATCGCGATTGTGTTGATCTGAAAATATCGTTTATCAATCTATTCAAAATTGAATGCATTAAATATTATACATGAGGATATGTTTGCCCTGTTCTTGCTGTGCTTATATGTGGTAGTTAGTCGCGGTGTACAGATTGAAGAAGTGCCTAGTGCCTACATTCTTGTGAATGATTATTGGGATAACTTGATTGCCAGGATCGCTCTTTATATTGGAATTTATATTACTGGGGGAAAGGGCCCAGGGCACGAACTTAATGCAGGGCACGAACTTAATATTGCAATTGTAGTGTTGCGGGGGGGGGGGGGGGTTAGGATTGCTTAGATTACCGAAGCATCAAGTCGTTTTGTACGGAATTAGTTTTTAAAAAATTTTCGAAACCCGCCGGAAAATTTGAGATATTGCGCTAAATTAAATTTCAAAGAACTCTATGTTAAGTAGATCGACAATATTTTTTGTTCACGATATACATCAAAAAAGTATGCGTTACATCTTCTAACGAGAATGAGTGGGCCAGGGTGGTAATCTTCAGCGATCAGACAGAATTTTCTAGTGCTCAAAGTGCAAACTTTCACTTTAGCAGAAAGTTTTCTAGTCAGTAACTCATGACTTGTGTGAATTTTTCATTTCATAGCTGAATAAAAATCAATCAAAAGCTGTAGCGAGTCACCCACTGCTCGCATATTGTATTTCACAAACTCTGGATTGTCTATTTTCGATTTCGATTCCGACAATTAGGCCAATATTACCCACGTTTCTTTTGATCTCACCCTAAACTCTTCAACGTCGCTCAGGAAAGTGTTATCGTCCAAAGTTTTGATGATGTGACACATCCCCGTGGCGAGCCCGGGCATGAAGGCGGAACTCAGCCCGTATGCAAACCCGAAGTCCCTGATGAGCAGAGAGCGCGTCTGGTTGCTTTCTGCGACACAAGGTAAAACGTCATGCGTTTATTAAGTAATTTGCATTATTTCTGTGAAAAAGCACCCACTGAATCGTTCAACTATGCTAGCTGTCAAAGTGAAGCCATCCTTTTAAATCGCTTAACTTTGCGACGAAAATGAAGTCTTCCCATAAACGGTGATAGTAAGGTATTAGGCGGTGAGAGTTAGGTCATTCCGTATAAATATTATAATACTTGTTTACTATGATGAAGTAAAGTCGTCAAATGCCTAGTTTGGATAATTATTAAAGTAAATTTTTGTATGCGGTGAAAGTTTTTCGTCTCCATGTTTACATTTTGAACTAAAGTACCTACTCCGCATTTGTAGTGTGAGCGAGTTCGAAACATGGTTCGTTCAAACACTAAGTTTCTGCCATTCAGAAGAAATAATTCGAGACATCACTTGAGTCCTTGCTTGCTTTGATGCAAGCAGTAGCTGCATGCATCGTTCAAGTCGAGTGAGCCGACGAACTTATTAAATTACTCGTTGGCTTCTGCAAGATGTTTGAACTAAAAATTTGTTACCTGGCATGGGAGTGAGTCCTAAATAGATCGTTGCAAGGTTTCTGAAATGTGGAAATATAATTGAAATACATTTTCCTGCTATTTCCCTAATTAAATAATTTTTGAAAGATAATTGAAATACTTTTTTCTTCTATTGCCCCAATTAAATAATTTTTAAAACTTATATGATCCCATTCGGAAATATTGCAAGATAATTGAAATAATTTTTAGCCCATATTCTCATTTATGGAAAAAATGCACTATTGTGCTCGCCATGTCCGTCTGTCCGTCCGTCTGTCTGTCCGTGACTTCACGTTTTCGTTGATTTTAAGAATACTCTGGAATGTGTCGTGATTTAGATTATAGTTTTAAATTGGTTGAAGATTGGCCTTTCCGAAATATGTAAGAAAACCCAGGTCTTGATCTCAGCCATCATAAGTAATTGACATAATAAATAAATAATACACGCACCGAAATTCTTAGCGCATTATTAGCGCATTTTCTTATTTATGGAAAAAATGCACTCTTGTGCTCGCCATGCCTGTCCGTCTGTCTGTCCGTCCGTGACTTCACGTTTTCATCGACAAGAAAATGCGCTCTCTGNCACTAGGTTGCCTTTCACTAGAGGCATTTCAACGCCTTTCCACATTTTCGACATTCTTTCAAAATATTCTATATAAATTTGGTTTAGGATTTCAAAAAACCTGTTGACAATTTCAGAAATTGGCATGCACTTGCACAAAAAAAAACATAAACGAATACTAATTGAAAGATAATTTTTCTATAACTTCTTGATGATGTGATCAGCGGAAATCTTTAAATAACTCACTAGGCATTCTCTACGTGAATTATGATGTTCCTTGATATTTTCTATCGAATTTTTTTATGTATAGATGTTATAATAACAATTTATAAAGGATAAACCAATTAATTTCCTCATTATTCATTATATTTGCAGCCGTTGAACATTAGTTCTACTAGTTTGATGCAGTGCGCACCGGAGTCACTGAATGGACTAAGGAACAGATTTTAAAAATCGTGCATGTGGCATTAAATTCACATATCAAGTAATGCATTTCATACAATTACTTATACAAGAACATTAACATATATTTGTTATTGTTTTCGCACGCACAAACTTCAAGTGTATTCTCTAGCAGAATTAATACTATACAAGTCAACGATGCTTTCAAATAAAAACGCTTGGACACGCAAATTTGTGTGTATAGCGTTTTAAAGTTTCAGATTAAAAGTTTCGATGATATTTTCAGTAATATTGATCGCTCGTTAAGTTACCCATAAAAATCAAGCAATGTTTATAGCTTAAGAGGAAGGATATACTACATTCCTACCCTATTTAGCGCACGTCGTCTTCTCTGCACATATGAATAGGTTTTTAATTAATGAATGATGAAAATAGAATTTATAATAAACAATTATCTTGGAAATTATCATTGAAATTTTCCCATTTGAACACAATACTTTTTTTTTGTTTTAAGTAGAGAATTTCGTTCTAAATTTCCATTTTACTGAGAATTATTACGAAATATTTGTTTACGAAACATTTATTTAAATTTATTTTTACGAAAACATTACGGAACGGGAAAAACGGTTATATTAAAAAATATCATTAAGTCTTCAACTAACCATGAACACGATATAAAACTAACAACAAATCTATAAGTCGAAAATTTCTAGCGACGTTTTAATTTCTAATGACGTCAGGAAAAAGGTTGAAGAACCTTTCATGCTTTTTGGCTAAGAACAAAGCCATCGTTTATGTTAGAAACGCAATTCTTCAGCCTCAACCTTAAATTCTTAGCATTAACCGAACATGCACCATGTTCGGGTAATGCTTATGAATGTACCGTGATCATGATATCTGTCTCAGCTGATAAAGAATGAACCCGCAATCTATATAGACAATCACATTGTCAAGTTCATGCGCAGTTACTACACACAGAAAAATAGAGTGACTTTGTCCAAATAGCGATGTACTACTGGCTTTTCAACAGATCATCCAGACCCAGTTTTGCTCGGCAGAAAGACATCCGTGCAACGTACAGAAAGTGTCATTATTTAGGCGACATAACCCATTCATTTTTCTGAGGGTATGCATTGGGGAGTAGATGGGCTTATGCGCCAGCTTCACTTCATGAAGCAGACTGAGAAGGAAAGACTTGCTTGAGATGTTCCTTGTCTTATCGATTGGGTCTTATCGATTGTGTCTTTTCGATTGTGTCTTATTGATTGTATCTAATCGATTGTGAATCGATCTCAGCCGTAGAAAACTCGGCTGAGATTTTTTTAGCTTCGGGAAAGTTAGTGTTTGGCTTTTCGCTATCTGTTGCATCGTGAGAATACTTCTGATAATGCGATAAACTATGGGTCATTTTAAGGGTCATTATGTAATCAAAAACCTTTTCGCTTTGTGAATAATTGTATTAAAAACATGTTAGGAAAGAGATAGTTATCAAGCAGGGTAATGCAAATTGATTTTATACTGACTAATTTTGTACAAAATTGCTGTGCAATTTACGAATCTCCGCTTTCAAATTGAATAGAAATGTAAAAAGTAAAATTCAAAATTTACACCTGTACCGTGACTTCGGCATTATCGTGAACGCTGTTATCACGCCTCGTATTACGCCCGGTCGGCAGTAGATCTCCAGACCCCATACCATGCAGACGCATCCACTTACATACACTTAGCGCAAAGACACGCCACTGACATAGTCCTTCGCAATATAACCAAAGCCTTTGACAAGGTTTGGCACACCAGACTCCAAATTCAAGATCATCCAACTCAACCTCCACCCAACCTTCACCAAAAACTATCAGACTACCTTACAGATAGAACAGCATCCATAAGAATAGGAAATCACACAGGTCCCCAATACAACTCCATACAAGTGTCCCCTAAGGGGCTTGTCTCTCCCCCACACTATACAGCTTCTACATCCACGACCTCCCGCCACCGCTACCCCACACAGACTACATTGCTTTTGCAGATGACATAACAAAGATAGCCGCAGGACATTACCCGCATAACCACGCAGCAGTACAAACACAGCACGTCATACAACAGATCCAAACCTTCGAAATTAAATGTCTCATTAGGACAAACACAAATAAGTTCAAAATCATTCCCATAGGTAGGCAAAACACCTCCCACATCTTCATAGACGACACGCACTATCCACACACGAACAAAGATTTTTAATCCAGAATATCGCCAAGCCAACCCATTTTAGGGGTAAACAAACCACAAATATTTTAGATCTAGTGTTTATCAGTGAAGAATCAAAGTTAGATGAGCTTCGCTACGAGGCTCCATTGGGGAAAAGCCACCACCAATCATTGTTTTTCAGTATCAAGTGCCATGCAGGAATGACGCTTCAGAAGCGAGAACGTTTGAACTTTGCGAAAGGCGATTATGATAAACTCCGTGAAGCAGTGAATGAGGCGAATATTTCGGACTATATTAAGGCCATGAATCTGGCTGTTTCACGGTCATATTTCAAAGACTCGGTTGTGTCTGCAGTTGATGTCTGTGTACCCAAGATTAACCTCGGAGGAGTCAAAAAGTCCCAGTGGATGAACAGTACAGTTTAAACTCGGCGAAAGACCAAGAAGGAAGCCTACAAGCGTTATTTAGGAACTTGCAGCGATGCTGATTATAACCTGCATGCACGAGCTCGAAATCAAGCTAAAAAAATCTGTCGCACCGCAGTAAAAAACTATGAAAAAATATTGCCAAAAAATGCAAGAAAGAACCCGAAATCCTTCTATTTGTACGTTAGTTCGAAGTGTAAGACAAACAACGGTATCTCTGATTTGTAAGTAGACTAACGGAAGATGTCCTTTGATGAAGGCAAGGCTAACGTGCTCAATAAGTACATTAGCAGTGTGTTCACAGATGGGGATTTGAACAGTATTCCAGCTATTGAGAAGCGCCCAGGAGGCTCGAAGTTAACAAAATTTGAAATACATGAAGAAGAGATTCTCAAGCGCTTGTTCGCCCCAAATCCCAACAAGTCATGTGGATCAGATGGCTTCCACCCTAGATTGCTCAAAGAATTAGCAACCGTCCTGGCCGGCCCTTTGCCAGTATTATTTCAGAAAAACCTTGAACGAGGAAATTTGCCGACCGATTGGGAAGAAGCTCAAGTAACACCATTGCTCAAGAAATGTGACAAAAGTAGCCCCGGTAACCATCACCCTGTCAGCCTGACAAGTGTTTGTAAGGTAATGGAATGTGTTGTGAGAGACAGGATTATCTTTCACTTGACTGTTCATCATCTCCTATTAGACTGTCAACATGGCTTTATTGCCAGTAGATCCTGCACCACTAACCTCTTGTCTACGTTGAACGATTGGACTCTCCTGTTTGACGAAAGGGAGCGAGTGGGAGCAGTGTACCTCGATTTTGCCAAAGCATTTGACTGTTCCGCATGAGCGGGTGTAGCGTAAAGTGAAGTCTTTGGGAATACGTAGAGGGCAATGTACTACGATGGGTCAGAGATTTTCTAGTAGGTAGACGACAACGTGTCAGTATTAACGGAACCGTATCAGACTGGGCATCAGTGCGCCGTGGCGTGCCACAAGGAAGCGTTCTTGGGCCTGTTTTGTTCGTTGCTTTCATAAACGATCTGTCAGAAATAGTGTCAAGCGCGTGCTCCATGTATGCCGATGACAGAAAAGTTACAGTGCTGATACAGCGATGGATGCGTCAAATAAAGTGCAACTGCAAGACGATCTTGATAGTTTAGTTAACTGAGCTGATACGTGGCAGCTGCGTTTTAATGCTGACAAGTGTAAAGTACTTCACCTCGGGATGAACAATGGACAGTATGATTACAATATGAGAAGACATTGTTGGAACGAGAGGGTTATGATTGAGAAGTCTTGCGTGGAAAAAGATCTTGGAGTTTGTGTTGAC